TTTTCCATAAAAGTTATACGTTATAAAACTTAATATTTTTATGGAATTTTTATATCAAATTTTTTATTGGGCATTAGAAGTATTCTAAAGAAAGAACAAGGTGAGAAAATTGCTTCTTATATTTTCAAAATAAATAATACTCAGACACTTGAAGCTTATCTAAAGAGAGAAAGGATTACTTATGAAATTTACCAAGAAGAAAGAAAAATAATAAACATTGGAAAAGAAAGCATCATGATGATGCATTATTACCTAATAAAAAGCAAAAATACTTAGAAGAAAAATAAATCTTATTATTACAATATTGATTTATTTTTTTACTGATAAAAAAAATTCTCCTTTATATAAATGTAATTAACAATCATCATATTGCATTGCTCATCAGTAAAAAAACATTGTTGTTTGAACAAATTTTACATTTGAGAATAAATCTTTGTTTCTCTCTCATTAACATTGAAATAATCCTGCCTTATGTTGGAACATTATAAAAACATTGCTGATTTAGGTAAAAAATTCAAATAACAACTCCTTCAAATAATTACCGTTAAACAATTTAAAAAACAAATAATCAATAAATATTTACAATATTTTCATTCACAATAACATTTAAAAAATGCTTACTTTCAATAGTGAATTTTTTTGTGGGTTGTTAATTGGAGTTTCTTATTTTATTATAAACTTGCAAAAATCAATTCTATATTATAAATCAAAAAATTGATCAAATAAATAGAACCAACTCAAAAATAAAATAAACAAACTTACTAGTGATAAAAAATATTCACAAGAAATAGAAATCTATGGAAGGACATTAAACAATTATTTGACAAAAAGACTAAACTAAATCCAAACTTTTCATTTAGCAAAATGGCTATTGAAATTCGTGAATTACTTGAAGGGAAAGGGTGTTGCTGCTTCCACAATAAAAAACTTCTACCAATGAAAAACAAATACTAGAAGGAAAAAAATAGAAGCAATTCAATAGTGGGTTGAAAAGGAAAAGAAGAAAAGAAGTGGCAAGTGAAATTGATGAAGATAAAAATAATGAAGATATAAATATTAATAATAACATTATTCATTATTGATAATAATAATAATAGTGAAAGTTGAATTTTTATCAGAGTGCCCAAAGAATAGGTAATACTTACAAATGGCTTTAGGTCTGAGTATTTTTCTCCCATGCAAGTGCTCTGACGATTTTTAACTTATATTTTTATAAATTATTTATTTATGTATTTTTCTATTATTGGTTGAATTAAAATATCTTTTTGTCATCTGTAAAAATAAATTCCAAGTCATGTGCCCACTAATTTATCATTGGTCGAAATTATGCACAAAAAACAATTAATTGTAACAATTATATACGATCTAAATCAATAAAAAAAAATTTTTTAAAAATTAATTCTACAAATCTTTTTTTTTAATAATGGCAACTCTTATTGACGAAATTAAAAACCAACTAAACATTACACTTAAAGAATACAGGAAGGCGGAGGATAAGTTGAAGGAATTTGAAGAGGGGAAGACGGGCAGTGGTTGAAGGAGTTGAAGAGAAAGACGAGAAGAAACGACATTAGTGAAGAGGACAAGAAGGAGAAAAGGAAATTGGAGGAAAAAGAGAAAAGATTGGAGAAAAACGTAGATGATTGTAGAAAGCAGGTGGAATACTTGCAAAAAAAATTAGCCGACTTTGGAAAGGAAGAAGGTAATGAACAAATTGCGTAAAAAAAAAAAATTTTTTTTCTATTTCGTTTATTTATTTTATCTTATTTTTTTAACTGTTTAAATCATCTGCTTGGTAATAATATTGATTTCTATTACCACTTACAACTTTTAGTTACAACACCTGAACCAGATGCTATTTTCAAAGCCTTCCTTAATAATAAACATGGTCAATTTCTTAAATCATATATAACTAATAATGACCAATTGCCATCATATGTTTCAAAAAAGCTCAAAATACCTGTGCCTGCTACCTTTTCATGTGATTGTCCTTCACTCTTATTGCACAATCTCCCCGGAGGTAGTATACAAAGACATCAACCAATTACACAGATTTCAAATATTCAGTCTGCAATTGCAAAAACAAGGAATAACCTTTTAGTTTTACTGGGAACATCTGGATGCAGAAAAACAAGAACATGTTATGAGTTACTCTGTGAAAGCTGGGGGTTTTACTTTGTATCAGCACGTAAGGGAAATGGAGGTTCAGGTGATATTGAAGCAATTGAGAACTATCTTGCAGGAAAATTAACAGACAATTTGGAAGAAAATCAAAAACATGCAGAACATATCACACATTGTGCAATTCTTTCTCGCTTTTTTATACTAGATCATTATATTGGCTTATCATCAACATTTAATGCACAGAACTGGCTCTTATTACAGGTCTGTCAAAAAAAATTTGAAAGACTTTATAATTACCATAATGATATCTTTCTCAGTCTTATGACACAGCTTGCTGATTGCACAGCATCCTCTGTGAAGAATCACATTGATACAATATACCAAAAAATCTCCAAAACTAAAAAACTTAATATCTTCCCCATTGTCCTTGATGAAGTACAAGCACTTGAAATGACACTTAAAGGAAAATTCAAATCACGAAAAAGTGAAGAAGAACGTTCCCTCTTGTTTCCAATTATTCAATCATTAAGAGAACCAACGTTATTATTTACCAACTATTGTGTTATTCCTTGTGGCACTGGACTTGGAATTCTTTCCCTTGAGGATGTTTTTATTACAGGAATCTCAAAACCAGAACTTGATACAGACAAATTCACAGAATTTGGAAGGTGGCAGAGTATTGCTCATGTAAAAGATTATGTTAATGATCTGTTGGAATTGACAGATGATGATTATAACCTTCTTTATAATCATTTTCGTGGTCAATTTCGACCTATTGTTACCTGTGTGAAAGAGATTATAATAGGTACACCACTTGAAGATGCTGTTGATTCACATTGGAAGGTTTTAACAATGAATAGTCCAATACTGTATAATAATACTGATCAATCATTATATAATCAACTATTAAGGATCATCAAGAGGGACTGACCTAATTATGTGTTATCAACAAATGTTCTTGAATTGTATAAGGGTTTAATACTTGCCTACTATTATTCTGGGGGGCCATTTTTGTTCACTGATCCCGATTCAATGAAAATAGTTGAAACTGGTTTTGGATGTCTTCAGTTGATAAAGCCACCTACTATCTCATACCTGAAGCAAGCATGTGAAGGTATAGATGAGGATATGTTGAGCATTTCAAGTGTGAATGTAGATTTATTATATCCTGCAACTGGAATAAAAAAATCCTTAGTTGCTTATATTGATGAGCCTTTTGCTCTTACTGCTGCCTATAATTTCTTTAATTATCATAGTTATCTACCAAAAGATATTCTCACCACAATGTCTCAAGTTAACAATGCAAGTTCATGTGGTATACTATGGGAAAAGTACTTAACCAATGAATTTATGCGAATATTCAATGGACAGACTGATATTAGAGATATATTAATGTTTGCTGATATTAAAGAATTTCCTATTGCTTTCAAAGGGTCACCTAAAGTTGTTAAATCTTCTAAAGTCACTATACCACAAGCAGTAAATTCAACCACAAGTGGTTGATCACTTAATCAATTCATTAATGAATCACTTGAGAAGCGTCCAGCATTCTATTTCCCAGAAATTAATTGTGACCCTAATATTATTTTCTTTGTTGAATTTGAGGATAAAGTCATGGTTCCTGTCTTTGTTCAAGTTAAGTTGCGTTATGCAGTTCATACAATTGCAGGAGCATTCAGTTCAATTGATTCAAATATGTTTTACAAGGATATTAATGGAAAAATTTTTGTGAGAACTTGAATAAACCTGTCATTGATAAGATAAAAAAACAATGTGAGAATGGCTTTATTGGCTTATTGGTTGCCTATCCAGCTGATATAGGCATAAAGTCTTATGTTACAAATGCATATTCATATAATTTAAGGAGTCAATCAAGCAAGCAACAACTCATTGGAATTATTGATTGCAAAAATGCATCAAAAATCTTTGAAGAAGATCATTTACACTTTCTAGATGTGTTGAAGAACTCCTTGAAAAGAAAAAATCTAGAGAAAAATACAGAAAATAAGAAGCAGAAGACATGATAAAAATATGTGCTTTGCTTTTGATTTTAATTTAATTTTTTAGTTCTTGTATTAGTTCTAGTAGATATAAATCAAATATTTCTGAATTTAGTTTATATAAAAAATAAAAAAATAATCTTAGAAATGAAATTGAGATGTACATTATTCTTTCATGTAATTCACACATAAAGAATTCACTCATTTTACTTTTAAAAACCAAATGAAATAATAATAAAACTTCAAAATTTATATATTTAAATTTTTTTGGATGTTATTTGAACATTTGTGCCTTCACCTTGTAGTAAGTCTTAAAAATATTATCCATTCTTAATTTATTCAACCAAAGTTGAATATTGTTTAACCAAACTTTATCTGCACATAATATGGATTGTATATATGTTCTTTGTTAAAAGAACAAATGAATTAGAATTAGTCTTAGAGTACTTAATATCTGGCATCTTCTATCATGTACTACTTCAAGAGTATTTAAAGAGGTGATAAATTGCTTCTGATATCTTTATCTTGTCTTTGGATTCATTCACAATAATAATAGTAATAGTAATATATGAATGAAAGTTTGAACATAACAAATAAAATACTCTTTAACTCTATAACCCCTTAAATACCTCTTGTCTATTGAACTTGTTAATCTAAAAACCCAAACCTCAATTCGCTCTAAGCAAAACTCTTCTTCTTAACTAATTATCTCTTTCAAACTGACAAGAAACACCTCCAAGGAATTGTTTACAGAACATAGAATTCAGACAAACAGGCCTGATAAAGAGTGGCAGCATCACCTTGTTTATTTTTGTGGTTGATGATATCCTTGTATATTGAAAGTATTTTTGAATTTGTTTGCCATGAAGATAGTGAAGAAGACTAACCAATTGATTCTGTTTTAAGTGTAAGACCAGTCAAATTTAACAACTGGGAATTTGATCACCTGTAAACTTTAAGCCTAATAAGAGATAGCTTAAATCTCTATACTGACTGGTTAAAATCATAATAGTGATACAGTCCAGTGATGGCAAATGACTAGGTCATTTGACTAATTTTCAAATGACCCGAAGTCATGCTGAAATGACCGGTCATTCC